GGGGGAGCGGCGGGGGCATCTGGGGCGGGGTGTCCCCAGCACAAAGCCGGGCTGCTCTGGCCCTGTCCTTTCCGGGATCCCTCTGTTTTCCGAGAGAGCCCGAGCTCAGGGCCACCTTCAGCCAGGCCTTGCACCGGTGGTTCCAAGTGGTTTTTGACAAGCGCTTTGCGAGACTTTCAAAAGGTGCCCACGAGTGGGGAAGTGAAAGGACGAGGGGACGGGAAGAAACTGCTGCTTTATTTCGAGCCTTGCTCGAACGGCTTCTTGGCCGTTACTGCTCCCGTTTTGCTGAGTCAGAAGCATCCCCCAGCTGCTCACCGGAAACACAGCTGTTAGGCGAAAATAACCACAGAGCCGAGCATCGTGCACCTTCCAGAAAAGAGGGCAGAAAACCTCAAAACAAAAGAGAAAAATATGAAACAATAAAAGAGGCACCGTCGAGAACCCGCTGCAGCTCGCCCCCTCACCCAGGCCCGAGGCTCAGAGCCCAAGAAGAATCGGGCCGCTTTCCACTTCAGTGGGTTGAACAGTGCCCCCTCCCAAAAGAGAGGTGACTGCATCCTAACCCCTGGAGCGGGTGAATGTGATACACCTGGAAAAGGGGTCTTTGTAAATGCAATTAACTGAAGGATCTGAAGAGGAGATCATCCCGGATTACCTGGGTGGGCCCTAAATCCAATGACAGGTGTCCTTGTAAGAGCAAGGCAGAAGGACATTAGATAGACAGAGGAGAACACACAGAGACATACAGAGGGCCAGGCCAGGTGAAGACGGAGGCAGAGAGGGGCGTTATATGCAGCTACGGGTCAAGGAACACCAAGGATTTGTTATGGCAGCCATAGGAAATTAATAAGAGCACCCCCACGTTCCATTTGCTGGGTCCTGTCCCCAGCTACCCCCTCTCCCCTCGTCTGGACTGAAAACATTCACAGCATCTTGCTTGCGAGGTGTCTTACATGGACACTGAGCTTCCCTTTCTTCTGGGCTTCGTGATTATCAGGAAGTTACTTGAGGACTCCAGGGACTAGGCAGGAGAGCTGGGATCCCTGGGTCTGGATAAGACTCTGCGGCACACCAGGCGTGGGACCTCGTCCACCAGCCACCATTCACATTGCTCGTTAGAAAACAGACTCTGGGGTTGAACACCGGTTCTGCCACTTACTAGCTGTGTGGTGTGGGGTAAGGCTTTTAACCTCTCTAGGCCTCAGTTTCTGCCTCTGTAAAATGGGGAGATGACCTGAAAACCACCCTGCTGTGAAACAGAGATGCTGAAAAGAATAATTATTGGGGCACCTGGGCTCAGTCAGTTGAGTGCCCGACTCTTGATTTTGGCTCAGGTCGTGATCTCACCACCCTGAGATCAAGCCCTGCATCAGGCTCTGAGCTCAGCGGGGAGTCCACTTGGGATTCTCTCTCTCCCTCCTCTCCCTCTCCCCCTCCCGTTCGTGCTCTCTCTCTCAAAAATACATCTTTTTTTTTTAAAGAATAATTGTTGTTAATGCATAACAAAGACTCTAGGGAAATTGGGGGCAATTGGCGGAGGCCAAAAACAAAGAAGGAAAGAAAGCCCAGAGCTGACGGTGTAGTGCCACATCTCCAGGGGGAGCCTGGGGACAGGAGACACCATTTGGGTCATGCAAAGCTGGGGGCCAGGACTGGGAAACCATTGTAAAGCTGGGTCTTCCATGAGGTTGGGGCTTACAGGAGTTCCCCCCCCTCCACCCCGATACGGCTGTAAGGATCAAGTTAGTACATACAAATCCAAACTTGGGATTTGGCTGTATTTGATAGCTCTTACTGTCCAGTGCTTTATAGAAGTGTCATAAACGTCTGTTGGTTTTGGTAGCTCAGCATCTGCAACACCATCTTTTGACAACAGCATCCCAGTTTACCTTTAGGAAACCACCCTTATTCCATGGCCTTGTTCCAGAAGAGGATATACAACCCAGAACCAACCAATCAGAGTCACATATGAATTCACAGGCAGGCAGGGGAGTGAATAGTTGCTAAGACTACTGGGAAAGAAAACTGCTTTCCTTTGGCTCTGCTATGTAAGTGGGATATGAGCCTGGAGCTACTGGAGGTTATCTCTGCCACTACCTTGGGTGAGCCTACTTGAGGATGATGCCAGAACCAAAGAAAGCTGAGATGAGAGACAGAGATTCTTGATGACATTGAGACCCTGGATCCAGCAGTGCCTGAAACCATCCAGACATCCAAACTTCCCAGTTCCATGAGACAATAAATATTCTTCACATGTAAGATAATTTGAGTTGGCCTCTTATGAACAAAGGCATCCTGACTCCCATAGTATCTTATGTGATAATCTCAGCAACTCAAGGAGGTAGGCATTTTATTATGTCCATCTTATGAGAAGAAACTGAGGCTTGGAGACATTTAATCACTTGCTCAAATCACACTGCTAGTAAGTGGCAGGGCTGTGATGGGATCCCCTTAGCCACGGAAAGGCAAAAGATGTTGTAGTTAGTGTACCAAGGCTTTTGTGTCATGCCTTGAGAAAGTCACAAAAATCTCAAAGCCTTCCTTGTGTGGCTCATCTACAAAATAGACGAGTTGGTATATTTGTAATGTTTTTAATAGATATCTATATATTTAAATAAATATATAAATAAATAAGTACTAAATATTTATATACATAAAGATTACTATGACAATTAACTGCATGTTTTCTCTCCATAACTAATAGACATTAGTGTTTTGCGTACTTGCTACAGAGGCAAGATAATTTCTGAAAATCCATATAATTCTTTGGATCTTGAGTCTAGATTCTGAAAGGCAGGCTGAGTCTGGATAACTTAAAACTAAAAACAAAAATATAAATTCTCTTATCTTTACTCACATATTTAAATTTTCTGGTATTCTTCATTCCGTGTGTAGATCTGAGTTTCTACCTGGTATCATTTTTCTTCAGCCTGAAAAAGAACTTATAATATTTCTTATGGTGCAAGTCTGCTGGTGACAAATTCTACCTCCTTTTGTTTGTCTGAAAAAACATTTTTATTTCACATTCATTTTCTAAGGATAATTTTCACTGAATATAGACTCTTTTTTTTTTTTTTAAGATTTATTTATTTATTTATTTGACAGAGAAAGACACAGTGAGAGAGGGAACACCAGCAGGGGGAGTGGGAGAGAGAGAAGCAGGCTTCCCGCTGAGCAGGGAGCCCATTGCGGGGCTTGATCCCAGGACCCTGGGATCATGACCTGAGCCGAAGGCAGACACTTAACGACTGAACCACCCAGGCGCCCCGAATATAGACTCTTTGTTGACAGGTTTTTGTTTGTTTTTCATTTTTGTCATTTAATTCAACATATTAAGGACGTCATTCCATTGTCTTTATTTTATGGCTTGCATTATTTTTAAGGGTGGGAAATCAGTGATATTTCTTATCTTTGTTTATTGAATGTAATAGTTCTTTTCATCTTAGCTGTTTTCAGGATTTTCTTTTCATTGCTAGTTTTAAGTAATGTGATTATGATTGTTTTGATGTTCTTTTCTTTGTGTTTATCCTGCCTACAATTGGTTGGGTTTCCTGGATCTGTACCTTTATAGTTTTTATCAGTTTTTGGAACATCTTCCGCCATTATCATTTCAAGTATTTTGTTCTGCCCTCCTTTCCTACTGGGGCTCTGATTACATGTAGGGTTGACCATCTAATATTGTTGCAGAGGTTGCCTGATGTGGTCCTTTTTTTCCCCCCTTAGTCTTTTTTCTCCTTGTGCTGCATAAGCTTGTATTATTATGTCATCATGTGTACTATTTTTTTTCTTCTGCAATCTTTAATATGCTGTTAAACCTATCCAGTGAAGTTTTCGTTTTAGAAATTGTATTTTTCCTCCTCCTAGAAGTTTCATTTAGTTCTTAAAAAAAAACTTCTACTTCTTATGTTCATGCTTTCCTTTAAATCTTTGAACATATTTGTAATAGCTGTTTCAAAGTCCGTGTCTGTTAATTACATCATCTTTGTCATTTTGGGTCAGTTTACACTGACTGGTATTTCTCCTGGTAATGGGTCACATTTTCTTGCTTCTTTAGGTGTCTGGTAATTTTATGTTGGATGCTAGACATTATTGATATTATGCAGCTGAATGTTTAGATTCTTGTCATTTTCTTTTGGAATTCATTTGGCAGGCAGTTAAGTTACTTACTGGTCAGTTTTATTTTTTTGAGGCTTCTTAAAAAGCTTTGCTGAAGTGGACCTAGTGGAGCCTTTCTTCTTCTTCTCTCTTTTTTTTTTTTAAGATTTATTTATTTTATTTTAGAGAGGGGGGAGGGGCAGAAGCAGAGGGAGAGAGAGAATCCCAAGCAGACTCCCTGCTGAGTGCAGAGCCCAGCGCAGGGCTCAATCCCAGGACCCTGAGATCATGACTTGAGCCAAAATCAAGAGTCAGACATTCAACTGACTGAGCCACCCAGGCGCCCCATGGAGCCTTTCTTCTAAGGCAAGTGTAGCCCTACTACTATGGTGTGACCTCACTGTACCCTCTAAAGAATGCCTTGGATGTTCAATAGCTTACTCCCATTCTGGTTTGCTAAAACTTGAATGTCCCCCAGTCCTATGAGAGCTCTGGGAATTATTCAGTTTATTCCCCCAGTAGGGTTGTTCTTTGCCATCCTTCTGGCATTCCACTCAATGCCTGGGCAACTTCGTATTCAACCAATCACCCAAGGGGCTCCTGATACGATTTCTGGTGCTGTTAATCTGTGCAGCACCTTCTTCTCTAGGACTTGGCCTCACAAATTCCAGCCTCTTCAACCTCCACATATGATAATCTATATGTCCTCAACTCAGAGAAACTTCCATGCTCTGCTTGGGATTCCCCTCACTGTGCTGCAATCTAAAACATACTTCTAGGGGCGCCTGGGTGGCTCAGTCGTTAAGCATCTGCCTTCGGCTCAGGTCATGATCCCAGGGTCCTGGGATCAAGCCCCACATCGGGCTCCCTGCTC